ACTAGTAACATTTTGATATAATTTATCTGTATCATAGTAATGGCTTATTCTAAATTGGGCTGGGTTTTATACACGTAAACTAGGGTACACCAATACCTCAAGTGCACTAGAAGACATGGAAGTTTTTGTTTCATTGCACAAAGAAATACAAAACAGTATGAGTAGTGCAAATTTATGATAAACCTTCCAGAACTAACATATATTAAAGATCTACACATAGTAGCCTGAGAGAACTAAAACCAGCTTAGCAAATCCTGAATAGGGAAGTAGCAGATTCTGACCTAACTGGATCTGAATATTTGGAGAACTTGGGTAACAAGATCTTTCAGGCAAAAGGGATCTACCAACCAGACTATTAAGGTTACTAGATTCTCTTTGGTAGTAGGTTTATTAATTATACTAATAACTATTTAACTGGTAATAAGACTTCGAAGAAAAAGGTTATATGCTATAAAATTGTAAACCAAGGATCAAAAGACCTTCAGACTTAAGCCTAGAAAACTCAGGTCTGGGCAGACTAATCCTTCTGGCTTATCTGGTTTGGAAGACCAATAAAACCAAATAAAGTAAAATGCAGAAAGTAACAGAATGGGATACTAGGGTCTATGAATATTATAAAGAGTAAAAGTAAGTAATATAGAATTAAATTAGAAAAGTTGGGCTTGAAATACAGATTGTGTTATAGCAGTACCTCAAAAGGTGGTATGAGATATAAACACAATGGCAGCAGACAATATGTACTAATTTGGAAAAAAATTACTAAATGAGTAAGTACTTTTATGAGTGGGGTATAATATATGTTGTTAGGCTTACTTTGTAAATAAAATAGTTCTAAATTGGCTGTTAATCTAGTGGTATTATATAGATTAACTGTTCTTTAAGTTATGAAATCACACTCAAGTTAGAATTAAGAATGTGTAAATATTGTGACCAGAGAGTTTAAATGGGCACTCATGTAGTTGAGATGCAGGTACAGCAGATAGTATAAAACCTCTAGTATGCACATATGGCTTGATGTACCTTCATTGTAATTGTAGCATATCTGTATATTCTAATAATAAATCACTGACATAGAAGTCATCTTAACAAATAAAAAAAAAATCAAAATTGCTTATATAATAATTTTGTATAATTTACATTTGTTACATGTATAATTTGACTATTTTTATATTATTATTCTGGGCATCTAATTGAATAATTATTCAAAAGCTAAATCAAAATAGAATAAATAGTTAGAAATAAAAATAAAATTATATATATATATACATATTGCATCATTTTATTAATAAAATGAACTTATTTATTGTTATTTAGTTTAGAAGAAATTTGCATACATCAGTTTTATGTAACTCTTGTACATTATTTTTTTTTATCCAATAAAATTTTAGTATTATTTAGTAATATTTAAATTCAATAATTATTTGTATACATCAGATTTGTAATATACTTCAAATTTTAATAACTATATAAATATTGTATAATTAATAAAAATTAATGCTTTTACTTTGATCTTACTTTGATATTACTTTGATTTTATGTTTATTATTGACTTTATATTCACCATTGGCCTTGTATTCATTGTTGATCTTGATTTTATATTCTTATTCTTATTTAGTTGATTTTACATTTATTATTAATCTTACAATATTTGTTTCCATTTTCATCACTATTAACCTTGTATTCATTATTGATCTTGATTTTATATTCATAGTTGATTCTATATTTATCATTAATTTTACAATATATACTTCTATTTTTATCAATCTAGTTTTATATACTTTTGTTAATATTTGGCTTTTTTTTTATACTTGCTTTATTTTTTATCAATTCTAGGTTATATATAACGATTTTTGTAATTTATATTAATACTAATACCAATAATATTCTTATTCCTAAAAAAGAAAATACCTTTTCTACTTTTGGGAAGTTCATACCTTTGTAAAAAATTATGCAGCACAAAATAATATTGTTACAATTCTGGAAAAAACAACCAAAAATTCAAAAAATAATAATTATAAGCAGGCATTTTTCATTTGTGAGAAACAGAGAAGCTATAATAGAAAAAGAAACAAAAACTACTAAGCAAACAGGTTGTCAGTTTGTTATCAGATTTAATTATCATAAGCACTTAAAGGAATTTGCTATAACTAAATTATACTTGGAGCATAATCATATTATTTATTCTGATACTAAAAAGTTTAGTATCAATATACATATAATAAATCAAAATGAGCTAGATACAATTGAAGAACTTCACAGTAAGATAGTTCGAACAAAAGACATTTACACTATTTTAGCATCTGTGAACTCGAAGTATATACATAAATATGATGTTTATAATACTGTTGGCCATCAATAGTAGCAAAAATTGCAAGAGCTAAATAAATTTGAGATGCTGCTTAGAACTTTAGAAAATGATAAAAATATTATCACAAGTATTGCCACTAAATCTGCATATGGGAGGAGGCAATAAAAAAGGAACAAATCATTTTTAGTAAAATTTTTTTATTTTTAAATTAAAATATCTCAACTAATTAATCAAATTTTCTAAAATTTTTTTATTTTAATCTTGAAATTATATAGAATTAAAATAAAAAAATTTCATTAAATTTGATAAAATAATTGCCAAGATATTTAAGCCTAAAGTCAAGAAAACTTTTACTTAGAAAAAATTTGTACCTTTTCTATTGACTCACCCCCATATAATGATGAGTATGATCAATATGAATTATTTATCTAAGCAATCTTTTGGGCTTATCAAACTTTATTTTCCAAGTTTGCAGTAGCAAAAGATGGTTTAGTTGTTAATGCAATGTATAAAACCAACAGGTTTTTTTTTTTATTATTATATTCATTATGATTACTTTTAGCTTTTGGTTATAGTGATATTTGTTTGTAACTTTGGAATTTTTATTTCTATATTTGATGTGAAAATGTCTAATATCTGAATATATTTGAAAGTTTTTTTTTATTATTAGAAAGTGTTAATATAATTGGAGTTATGTTTGTATATTATAACAAGCTATTTAAGTAATAGAGTTAGTATTTAATAATATAAGTATAGAAGTCATGATTTTTATTATTAAATGCAATTGTTAACTTTTTAGCTTTAGATCAACATTTATATACTATTTAGCTCTTGTTTATTATTCTATATATGGTATTATTTTTTTCTTTTCTTTTACTTTATATTATTATTTTTTTTACTTTATATTATTTATTTATTTATTTTATTTATTTATTTATTGGATTTAATATTTTGGTGCACCCTGCACCATGGTGCACCCCTATAGCAAGTTCTTATATAAAGATTAGTTAAGGTTAAGGTTGGAGTTAGGGTTAGAGTTAGGTTAGGGTTAAGGTTAGGTTAAAGTTAGGGTTATGTAAAATTGCGAGAGGGGCATTTTTATTTAGTTACACAACAGGGTTACCCTAGTAAAATTTTGAGATATAGCAAATTTTAAGTAAAGTTATGATTAGTTAAGGTTAGGGTCAGGGTTAGGGTTAGGTAAAATTGTAATAGAAACATTTTTCATTATTCGCACGACAGGAGTTACCCTAGTAAAATTTTGAGATATAGCTAGGGGTGCACCAAAATTTTAAACTCTTATTTATTTATTATTAATAAAAATTATTTTTATTTTTTTAACTCAGATTTGAAATGCCACTAATAATTATTTGTAGCATTAATTAATTTGGGTTAACATATTCTTTAGCTTTCTCACTTGTCTATTCTAAAACAAAAGACTTTTACTGCTAGGTATTGCAATAGCTGTATAAAGTGCTAACTATTTTAACAGATAATATACATATAAAAACAATTATAACTAACCAAGAGTTGGCTCTTATAGCTACAATATATATTGTATTTTCTAATACAAGACACTAGCTATGCACTTGGCACATTTTTAAAAATATCAGAAACAAGCTTAGAGGCATTGATATTGATGAATTTATTTGGGCTTTTCAAAAACTTGTATATGATAATCTTTTAGAATATCAAACAGAACAAGAAATTACAATTTCCAAGTGCAAAAAAGTATATATGTAAAACATAAATGTGCATAAAGAATGTTTGCTTGCAATGCATACAAAAAAAAAGATAAATCTAAATATCAGACAAGCCAGTATGTTAAAAGCCTGCATAGCCAATTAAAAAGTGTTGAAAGTTATATTACCCCAATTGATAGGTAGAAAAAGGATTTGTTATATTATTTAATTAGTTAACTAATTAATTAATCAACTACTAAACTACTTAATATATATATTGTATCAAGCTACTTTAGATGCAATATATAAATATTTTTCTTAAAAAAAAAAATTAGTTATATAAAAAATATATAAGTTATATTGATTAATGTTTCTTTATTCATGATAAATTGCATATTAGTTATTTTTATTATTATTATTTTTTGATTAAAAAATTTTAATTAATTCTGATTCTTATTTATAGATTACTTTCAATAATTTAGCAACAACATCAAGAACACACCCAGAAATTTATGTATAAAACATTTTTGTATTAAAATAGACACACACAAGATGATAAGGTATAGGTCTAGAAAAGATACATTCAATATATTTACAATATGCATTTGGAATTTATATAAAAAAGCAACAAGACCTTATAAGATCTGGGGAATATGGAGTTCTTAAAACAATGCTAATATGTATAATGTAGTGCATATTGATGATCAAATAATGAAGATATATATAGTGCTAATCAAAACACCAAGTACTTGTACATGTTTGTATTCACAGTGCATAAAGACTCTATACTAGCATATAATTATAGTATACTTATTGTATATATGTACTTATATACCACAAGTGAAATTCATAAATATTGGCATATGCAGTACACTACAAAAATTGATTATAATTCAGATTCTGTTTTCCAACTTGCTATGCAGATTTTCAATAAGCTGCTAGAGTATAACTATAGTGATTTATTAAGCCTTATACAAAATGCTTCAGAGCATATTTTGAGAGATGGCAAAATGCCAAAGCTTCAAAATGAATTAACTATTTTGCAGCAGGGTAATTTTGAAATGATTATTGTTGACAATGCTGCAAATTATAAAGAAATTAAGATTCCAAATATCAAGCGTAAGCATGGTCATCCTTCTAATAGCAAGCATATTTGCAGTACTTTTAAAAATATTGTTAAAAAACCTAAAGTTAAGAAATTGAATAATAATGATGCTACAATGCCTATAAAGCTTGACTCATGTATTCATCAAAGTATAGTATCAGAGGTATATATGTCTAAATTATCTATTTATTTACTAATTAGTTACTAAAAAATTACTAAAATTAGTTTTTATAGTTGTAGCTAAATTAAGTTTTTTTTACTAAATTCATTCACATAATTTTAATATTTCCAATATACATATTTCCACTAGCAATATATATTTTAGAAGATAAGAGATCAAATTAGTATAGATAATACTTAATTAATTTTTTATTATAACTCTATATTATATTAATAGGTGTGGCCTATACTATATTTTGATCTTGATTTTTTTAAATTAATTCAAATATATCAAAGTTACATGAATACTGTATCCTAGATAAATGCAAATAGAATTTATTAAGAAGCATAACTTATATATATTAGTTACATAAGTAACAAATATATAAATTATACCTTTTAATAAATTTCTTTTAGATACAATTACCTTGAATATAACTACACTAGAATATAGCAATAGGTAAAAAATTTTCAAGGTTACTTTTTTAAAAAAGCTAATTGAAATGCATATGTAATTATAGATATACAATCCACTTGGAGATAGTTATTGCAGTTTTCGATTGTTAGCTGTAGCTATATTTCAAGAAGAGAAAAAATGGCAAAATATTAAAAACACTATGATATCTCAACTAACTAAAAATCAATCTTTATACAGCAACACACTTTGATATGACACAAATCGGCTTATGACTATTTTATTATATCTTTAGCCAAGATGTTCACAAGAATACTAGTTTTATATACCAGAGTGTGCACAACTGGTATCAGATGCATTTAATGTGCTGATAGCAATATTTGGTGTAGATATTATGTCAAGTCTTCTTTTTTTTGCCATTTGACAAAAAACCTAAACATTGTAAAAAACCTGTTATTTTGCATTGGTATAGGCATAATTATATTGTGTTTGTTAAACTCAAAAAAATAAAAATATACAAGCTCCACCTTTAAGTCCTCAGTATATTACTAATTGCTATCACTTAGGTTTTTTCAAGGATTGGTATTCTCTCTCTGTATAAAATTATGTTTTGTCTGTTGCTTTATTGACTTTTTTTACAGAATTGAATTGCTTTGTTATTAACAATACTAACTTAATGTTTAGCTAAGAAAATATTTATAACTTAGTAAGTATCAAAAAAAGTTTGCAAAAAAACAAATACTGTATATATGTGTAATTGAGAATTCAAAAAAAAAAATTAAAATTATTATTGTAAGGCAATGCAATAAAATGCTTAATTAATAAAATTTAAATCAAATTTGTTAATGCTAAACCAGTTTCTATAATTCTATAAATTAAGTTTATCTCATCCTATATACTTGTAAATATTGTATGTATAATTAAAAGCTAGTAATCAAACCATTTTGTGCACTAAGAGATTTTGAGAGTACAAAACTCTAAAAGTTAAAAAATCAAATAATTAAAATCGATGTTAGAGGGCGGAACCAGTTACTTTAAATTCGGGTTAATATTAAACCAGGTTATAATTACCCAAAACCAGTTATAAAACTCAGACAACCCGGTTTTTAAAATCAGATTCAGTTTTATTTTTATCCTAATTTCAAAAACTACGTGATCTTCAAAATGATATATAATCAATTTTTATGAAGTATTATTTATGTTATTATTTGCTATTTCTTATTAATAATGCTATATATTAATAAATTGAATCAATTTTTGTGAAGTATTATTTATGTCATTATTCATTATTTCTTATTAACAATGCTATATAGCGATAAATTGAAATCAGTTTTTATTATGTATTATTTATATCATTATTCGTCATTTCTTTATTAATAATGCTATTTATTGATAAATACAATTTTTGTATTGCTTGTTAATAAAGAAACATTTTTTTACAATGAATCGTTCAGAATCTTTAAATTTGAATAGTTCAAAATCTCTAAATTCAGATGGTCAATTTTCTGCAATGAATCGTTCAGAATCTCTAAATTCAGATAGTCAAATTTCTACAATGAATTGTTCAGAATCTTTAAATTCTGATTCTGATTCCTCTCTCATTAATGTTAATAAAGAAACACAAAAAAGACAAAAAACTCATCATAAGCTGCAAGCAAACCAAAGTCATACAAATTTTTTTTTTTCAAGAAAGTGAAACTGATCCTCAAGTTGTTTATTACAAAATTTGCATTAATAACTTGGCTGATAATAATTAAAAACCTCATCCTTATATAAAAATACCTCTAACTTAATTGGTCATCTACGGGATAAACATTGAATTACCAAATTAAATTATCTTGAATATGTGGATATTGATGATGAAGTAATGTATTCTAAAACTTCTTTAAATTATTAAAAAATTTTAATTTATATATTAATATTTTTTTTATTATTTATTAGTTAAAAGATCAAATTGCTGAATTAAATAATATAGTATCTTATTGCACATCAAAACAACAAGAGCTTGTAACTAACAAATTGGTTACCTTTCTTATTAAATTTGTACAACTATTATATATTTTGGAGGATGAATCGTTTAAAAACATGTATACCTGGATACAAATTTCCCTGTATAAAAATAGCAAAAGACATAATTTATCATGAATATCAATTAAATAAAAATCAATTAAAAATTATGTTAAATACAAGTGCAGAGGTAATACATTTAACTACAGATTTATAGACTGCAAAGTCACAACACGGATATTTTGGAATTACAGCTACTTGGCTGATATCTGAATTTGAATTCCATGAAGTTCTTCTAAAATATGAACATTTGCCCTATTTACATTCTGAAGAAGTCATTAGCCACGAATTATATAAAGTAATTCAAAGATGAGATTTACAAAGTTCAGTATTGGCTATAGTAACTGATAACAGATCAAATATGATTCGAGGAATAAATCTACTTTCAGAAAACTTTTGTTCCCATGTCATTAGACAACCATGTGTTGCACATATATTGCAACTTTTTGTACAAGAGGGACTCAAGCAATGCAAAGAAATTCATCGATAGGTAAAAAACTTGCAAACCTTTTTTAGACTTCCCAAACAAGCAGAAAGACTTTGACTTGCTCAGAATGAGCTTAATTTATCTCAATTGGGTGCTGAACATGTTAATATAAACCCATTAGAAGTTTTAGATGATACAAGAACACGTTGAAATTCAACATTTTATGCTTGGAAACGTATTTATAAACTTCATAATGCTATGCACATGTTTCAAATACTTTGCTTTTAACTTCTAATCGTATATTGCAAAAAGAAGGTGAAAACTTAAACAATTATGTCTTACTTTAGATGAAAAGCAGTAAGTATTGCTTATAAACTATATATTAAATAGTTATTTTTTCATATATACTTATTTATATATTGTATTATATAATATTAAATTTAGATTTCTTTACAATACAATAAATATGCTAGCTCCTTTTGAAAAAATTACACGACGTATTTCAAGTTCTAAATATTCGACATTTATCGTATCACACTGCTTATAGTACCCATTGTGACAAATAATGTAGATCAATTTTTTAAAATATTATTTATATGTAACATGTGATGTAAACAATTGTGTAATGCACGTGACTTTTAATTTTTCACTATGTAAAAAATTGTGTTATACCGGGTACTATAAGCAGTGCGATATGGTAGTATGATTTATCCATATATGGAAATACTAAAAAAGTCATTTGCACCTCGATCTGATCAAGGAGAAACAAAACAATCTTATCTTAATTTAATTTATGGTTATACTTTATTCGATGAAAATGATGATACTAATTTAACTGATAATAGTTCTAGTTCTGTTAGCGATAATAATATTATACCAAGTGGTGGGGCCCGTCAATATTGGCAATATGCCCACAGGCAATATCATCAACATATGAAAAGGGGAAGAAGAAAAAAAAAACGAATGGGAGTAAAAAGAAAATATCAACAAAAAAATAAGCAGCAGACTAATAATTCTGATAATAATACGATTGAATACTTGCCTGCTATTGATCCTGATGGTTTAATACTAAAAATTCGTGCTGCTATTTTTTTATCTTTGGATGAGCTTTGGACTGTACCTTCAGATTTGGCTTTAACTGCATCTATTCTTGATCCATGGTTCAAAACCTTCCAATGGGCATCTGAACAATTAAGATATGCGAAGAAATTACTTGAAAAATCTTATATTGAGTTGAAAACAGCTATTGACTTATTAAATTTAAATAATTTTTCAAATGAAAAAGTAAAAAAAAATGAAACATCAATGATTCACGATGATGATGAATTCTTTAGTCAATTAAAAACAATACCTCAACAAGCATTAGATTTAATTGAATTAGATGAAGTAACGCGTTACTTAACTTTGGATAGTATTGGGCTCAATGAAGACCCAGTAAAATGGTGGCAATTGCATAGAGCCGGATTGCCAATTCTTGCACAGCTGGCTAGAAAATATCTTTCGATTCCAGCTTCTTCAGTTCCATCTGAAAGATTTTTTTCTGATGCTGGTAATCTTATCACATCAAAAAGAACACGGCTAGCACCAGATCTGGTAAATAAAGTTCTATTCTTAAAAAGAAATAGTAAGTATATCAAAATTTTTTCATAGCAATAGGATAGCAATTCGCTTATTAGATATTTTTGCACATTGGCATGTATAAATAAATGTAATTTACTTATGCCGGTATTAATAAATGCCTTAATAAAATGCATTATGTATGCTTATTCGCTTATTAAATACTATACAAACATATATATGTACATCTATTTTTTTATACATAAAAATATGTGGATTTATTAGAAAAAATATAAAATTTGAATTTCGAAGATTTTTAGTTATACAACCCACCACCCGGTTTTGCTTAAAAAAGAAACCGGTTTTAAATCATGTGCAACCAATTCGGTTCTTAAATTTACAACCGGTTCCGACCTCTAATCGATGTACATGAAAATGAATTTGAATACGTATTACTAACTGACGCTGAATTTCATTGGACAAAAAAATTGATATACATGAGTTACACGAAACTGATGTACGCAAATAATTCCTCTTTAGTTTACCATTATTTAATTTATATAATAAGTCAATAATATTCGAATCTCTATTTATAGACAAGTTAGCATCTTACCTATTTAATTAAATTTTATTATAGTTAATGAAAATTTAGAAAGTAAATATTGAACAGTTTGAAATGGAGAGTATAAAAAATAATTAGCCGCAAAAAAAGTACATAATTTATCAAATAATATCACATAAAACAACCAAATAATTAAATACAAATAACTAACGTTCTATTTTTAAAAATAAAAACCACTCTTGCAAAAAATTCAATACTTAATAGAAAAGAAAAAAGAATTAGTAAATATCCAAGGTTAAGAGATGTTTATTAGAGTCCGCCTATATAATCATGAACACTTAAAAAGACATCTTACGTTTTGTTAATTTACTAATTTATACTGAACAATTGATAATGAGCAAATAGAAACTCTAATTGTCTTGGTGAGTTTCTCCAACAAGATTTTATTTAAACAATGTTGTCTTAATAAATGAAACAAATTAATTGTATATAATGTATATCTAAAAAGAACAAAAAATTTGCATGTAGCAAATTATTAAAATTGCAATCATTGAGATATTTGAATATTTACATGGGCTTACAGTATTATTTAAATTGATATAAATGATTAAATCAAAGTATATAATAATAATTATTAACACCAAATATTAAAAAGAGGATTATTAACCAAGAATTAGAGTAATTGATATCCATTGTAGCGGAAGACTTTACAGACCTACAAGTGGAAGAAGATTTTACTGAAGATGAAGAAGCAGGTGTGGCAACAGCTTAGACGGTAGAGGCGGTGGTAGTAGTGGTGGCAATAGGCTTACTTTCATTATAATAGATACCAGGAAAACCTAAACAGTCAGCAACTGGCTTAATATTACGTTTTGCTTTTGTAAGAATATCAACTACTAATGGGGCCTGTTGAGCAGTCACAGTGAATAAGTCATGTTCAAGGGAAATATGACCAGTAGTAGATTTCTCATTCATCCATGCACTAAAATTTGAAGCAATCCATGATATTTGAAATCCTGGATCTTTGAAATGCCAATCTTCTGAATCTTTATCCCATACTACAACTCTATACCCAAGTTGCGAAGCTATGTCACGTATGCGATCATCATAATCACTGTATGGAGGACGCATGTATAATGGTCTGGCACCAGTTACATTTTTTATAATTTCAGCACTCCATTCTAGTTCAGAAATCACTTGTTCAGTAGCCTGAGTGGTGAGATAAGGATGTGACCAGGTGTGCACACCGATTTGATGACCTTGTAAAAATTATTGTAAAATAAAATTCAATTAATATAATAATTAAATGTTTACGATAAACACGTGAATTAAATTTACCTTCTTGAAAAGCTCTCAATAAAACATCACTTTTCGAAACTACACGAGAACCAACAACAAAGAATGTAATTTTAAGATTATATGATTTTAAAAGATCAAGAATGGCTATTGTGTCATTACTATTAAAAGTAATATATGAAATAAATTAAATTTTCATTAGATACAAGCATGAAATTGACACTTTCTTGGGTTACTACAGATTCCTGAAGTAGTACTTGCCCGAAATTACTGCTTAATGCATGCAATAAGATATAATCTTGGGTTTAATTTGGATTTAATTCAGTAATTTGGTTAAACGGGATTTCGGGCGTATACTACTTCAAGAATGACACACACACATATATATAATATTTACGTTGGACCATCGTCAAAAGTGAGACCCCAATCTATAATGAAAAGAATTAAAGGATGTTAAAATATGTCAAAGATTTCAATATAAGAAACAGTATTCTACATACCATTTACAGTTGGACAATGAAGAATGTCATCCGAGCGAGTACATTTAGAACAAGGGTTGTAACAATATGGATCCGTAGTTGGACATGTACCGTTAGCAATATTTGACACAAGGTTAAGAGGAGCATTTCTAACTTTTGTCAAATCTACTTTTGCAGTAAAATCAGTTCTATTTGGAGGCGGAACATCAAGCGCCGGCCAACCCGTAAGATCACATGTAGATAATTGAACTAATAGGCAAAATAATGCCACGAATAAGGGATTAATTCTAATAATAATTTTCATTTTTTTTTTCTTGTTTTATATTAAGCTAATGAAAATAAACGAAATTTAAATAAATTTATAATTAAATATTAGTGATTTTTATATTTAAAAGAATGGTACTTGTTTTTTTTCTGAGCTCATAATTAAATGTTAACTCAGGAATAAAAAAAAAATAAAAATAACTTGATTAAATTGTTCAGAATTTTCTTTCCAGATAATTCAATAAGTATTTTAAATTAACAATAAATTCGAAAACACAAAAACAGTTCATGCCATAAAAACGAATTTATATTTAATCTTTCAAGATTTTACATGCAAAAAAAATACGCGTCTTTGTGAAACCTTCAATAAATTGAGAAATTAATCGTAAATAATCGTAAATTTATATTTATGTTGTGTTACAAATATCAACAGATATAGTCCAAAATAATTTTATATAAAAAATTATTAAAATATTTTACCTGACTGCGGAGCACAAATGTAGCATTCACAATTTAATTTGCGTTGAAATTTCTTGTGACCAGGGGGGCTGCTATCTTTGGGTATAACAATCTTTCTAAAGTAATAATGATGTTTATCTATTATTATGAAAATGTTACTATTGTTTTGTAATCAAAATAATAATAAGCAATCGTGTAACACCTTCGGTAATTACCCAATACTAAAATTATAATTCTCGTGGGTGCATTTTGTTCAATAGACGATTACGAACACGCTAGTAAAAATTAATCGAAATTTTACCAAGAACCTGGAATAATTCTGTTAAGTTTCCAATTAATCACAAATAAAGCTATGTTCTGTTAAGTTGCCAAGGGATAGCATATACGCAATGTTAATCACAAATAAAGTTATGTTCTGTTAAGTTGCTAAGGGTAGCTTATACGCATTGTTAATCATAAATAAAGTTATTTGAGTTGTATTATCTAATAACGTTTACTTTATTAATCCGTTTTCATGAAATCTTGGCTAAATTCTTGATATCGCATTGCATAGACATGCATACTTACAGCACATAAGCACTTGCATTGTTTAGAAAGGAGTGAAATTTTAAATTTTAATGTTCATGAATTTATGCTTTTATTGATTGTTAAATCCTTTACTTTTTTACACTACCCATTTTATATGCAGTTGGTATGGTCAATTTAATTATAAGTCATCGTGCAAACTCTTATTATCATAGATCACAATTGCACGATAACATCGATATTGGATCATGCGATGATAAATATCATAAAATTTGTTCTGTCAGAGCAAATGATTGGCTGAAATGTGCCGCTGCGCGGCACATGTCAGCCAACCATTTGCTCCGACAAACCAAATTTCATGATATTAATCGTTGCATGACCAATATCTTATACATACTAGTCTATTCAGGATGTTTAGTTATTAAATTGGTCAAATTGTAGATTATTTAAGCAATTTGACCAGAGATATTTGACGGTTGACTAGAGTCTTTTGATCATCCGAAGATTTAACAAACCCTGAGTATATAATAGTATATAGCATTACGGACAATCCGATCGGATTTCTCCTATTTAATATAAACTCCTATACGCAATTGTTAAAGAATTCCATTGTTTATTTATTTACAGGAATAGTTACACTAAATTCATTAACATAAATTTTTTTTTAATTTGTGACATGGTAAATTTCCGATTTTGTTATTCCTTCCTTAATACAGTTTGTAATTCTCTCCTGATCCTTAACACGTGAATGACTTTATGTTTCTATACTTATTATAAACTATATTCTTAATAGTGTAATTTATTATAATTCTATAATGTATAAAGCGGAGAAATAGGTAATTGATGAAATATTTTATGATATATACCTTCAAGTTCAAACCATCCTAATCTTAAAAGGCATTAACCTTGAAATAGCATATACATCTACATAACGTCGAGAATTACTTTTCATTAACAAACCTCTTAAATAATTTGATTTAAAGAAATATTAAACAGCATTGCAAAAAACAAATAACGCCTAATTTCACGAATAAAATATGCTCTAAACAAAATTATATTGTATTTAATATGAACTTGAATTGTAGGTGATACCTTTACAAAAACAAAAACATCAGGATGTACAGTACGTAGGATAACTTACTGTACCTATGATAATTGACCAATGATTCAATTACATATGATTAAGTGTAATATAATACAATCAGGAAATTGGTTATATTCAAAAGTTTACATAACAAAACCGACTTTTGTGCACTAATAAAATTTTTTCTTGTAAAATTTTGCCCTATAATGTCAATTCTTACATAATAATGTTTATCGTAAATTTAATGATTAATGATAAAAAATACATTGATCATCACGTGGGGACAAATCTCCTTGCACGCTGGGTTTTCTTTCACAAAAATGGCATAATAAATAAGCGGTATAATAATTTTAAACCAAAATATATAGTTTTGAGTAATATTTTAAAGTAAATCTGAATAAAATTAACTGAACATTGCAAAATTTTGGTA